TGAGTAAGCAAAGCAATTCTAAACACTAAAATGTAAACATTCTGCAGTAATGCTCTTGACACTACAGAGCATTCTCCATAAATTGCATATAAAATATTTCATGTAACCCACCTATATATTAATGGCTTCTAATAAATGTGATACACTCTGAAATTCTCTGTGCAAGGTAACAGTTAATTGAAATGAACAAATAAAAAACCCCAGACATGTCTTTTTACATAGATACTATCCTCTGAGTTCTACTAAAGTTATTCTTGATGCATACCAATATGAAGAATGTCAGGGCTATCTATTCAACATTGTGGAGTTCAAACACCTGCATATTTACACCCCAAACTAGAAAAGAAATATCCAGATGCCTAAGATGGGATAAATTATTTCCTCCAAACTCTACTCATTTATTTCACTCCCTTCAAGACACAGTGAAATTTTAACTGCAGAACTGCATCCACACATATCCAATTCTGAGTTTTGATTCATATTCTGTAGAGCCCAATCAAGTTTTTTCTGTGGGTTTTAAAAGCCATTCAGGGATACTTGTTAAAGAAGCTGAATACTTGCACTATACATAAAAAAAAATAAAATTAATTTTCTCAATTATCTTCTCTTCATCACTTTCTATAGTCATAATTTCCTTTTCCTTATTAATACAACCTATAAAAACTATTGTGAAAATAAGAAAACAAATTAATTTTTTCCCTTTCATTTACAAACTATTTATAGCAAATTATCGTAGCAAATCATTCATACTGATTTGGGCTACAGATGCTTTTATTCTAATACAGTGTTATCAGAGTTTTATAATGAGCTATAGCTAGAAGCAATTGAGGGTCTAACAACTGAGGGAAGCCACACCAGGACTGTGGATTACCTCCACAGCTATAAAGTCAGGATGTTGTTAGTATGAACTCAACTCAGTTTAAAACTAGCATAGCTGGAAACAGTTAATTCACTGAAATTGTTCCCTACTTTTACCAGTGCAAAAGAAAGAAAATCAAGACCACTACGTCCCTTTGTTTTAACAATAACAACAATTTAAAAAGAGTAGGAAATTACAAAGTGAATGGAAGAAATTATTACGTTGACATAGAAAATCAACAGAAAGAAATTCCCCAGTCTTCTAAAGTCTCAAAACAAAAAGCCTCAAAAAGCCTTAACTGGTATGATTTTTCTAGCAGTAGATAGCAGCATGATCAAAAAATAGATCTATGCATGGAAATCATGAAGAAATACGTAATATCACAAGGCTTAATATTTGATCCTGCCAGATACCGAACTCTCTGGCCCTGGCCTAGCAAACCATTTAAGCATGTGGTTAAAAGTCAGCAGGCATGTTGCCCCATTGAAGCAAAGGAGGTTATTCAAAGTTTGAGCACAGATAAGTGCTTTGAACGATTGGGTCATTAAAGTACAAACCACTTACTGCCAGAGTATAGGGCTAAATTGCTGCTATGAGCAGGTTGTTGCAGAGCTGTCCATTACGAGACTCACAAATGCTCTTTGAAGTGTGCTTTGAAGCATTTCTTCACCACTAGATAAGGAATAAAAAAAAGGTGGGTCTGTCTGGGCAGGAATTTCCTACATTCCCATCAATTCACCTTCATATGCAAAACCAAACTATATTGATGCCCAGTTATAAGCATCCCTTAGGGAAATAGAAAGTGCTATCAATTATAATGATAATTATATATTATAATTATCAATTATACCATCGCTCTCCCACCACACATATGCACCTCATTAGAGACAACTTCCTCCTGTGTGCAGGGCTGGCATTAACTCAGCTCACCATGAAAAGGGTAAAGTCATGCAAATAACAAATGTTACATGTCACATTTAACATCACTTGAAGCTTCTAAACTGGTGCTTGATGACAAGTAATGTTGTTGCCTGGTAAAACTGGTGTTATAAAAGAAATTACTTATGCTCTCTCAGCAGTAAGGAGAACTTGCAATTTTATCTCAAGGCCAGAAGCAAGACTAGTTATAAATGCACATTTGAAGCTTTTGTTCTGACAGTTGTGGCAATGTGTGTTCACTAAAATACATCTCCTGGAGGAAACCAAGGCAGGTTTGCTGTGCTAGGAAATTTCCAACCCCAGAAATAAAATCCCTTTCCTTAACTTCAGTGACATTCTTTAAAGATGATGCAACAGTTGCAAGAAAAGTACGAATAGACTCAAAACCTAATTCTAATTATGGATTTATACGCCTAACAATGTATCTATTCCAATTCGATCTCAATACAACTACACTGCTATTGGATTGGAGTTTTGAGTAGTTGGTGGGGTGGTTTTTTTGCCACGGGCATGTGAGGGATCAAGAGCTACCTTATGTTCACAGGAGGAGAAACTCATTTTATTGTTAGAAATTCTGATGCAGTTATTTTGCACAGACATATTGATCTGTGCAACAACTTTTTCATACAGAGAAAAAGAATGCTGCCATGGGAGCACAGTAAGGCTTGTGTTCTAAACATTTGCAATTGTGGACTAGAAATGGTTCTGAAAGGGAGCAGAAACATCTCTCCACAGGGCTTTCTGAAAATGGTATAATCTAGGATAGAAGATAGATAGATAGATAGATAGATAGATAGATAGATAGATAGATAGATAGATAGATAGAACGAACAAGCATTTGATCTGTGTTATGTAACATAAAGCTCCTGTTTGTCAGATACTGAGACCAGGATAATAATATCCTTTAGTTGGAACTGTACCTGAAATAGTTGAACACCTTACCACTTCAGGACTAAATGCTGTAGACTGACTCTCTTTCTAGTCTGTCCAGCTGAAAATGCATGGGTTGTTATTAACCTATCTACTAGCTCTGATATCACCTTGTCCACTTTTGTGGAAGGCAAGAAAAAGCAAACCACCGTGCCCCTGCAAAGTTGTTCAAGATCTGACCAGCCATTGCAACTGTCAGGTTCTGTCAGTGAGAAGCCAGGCAGTGTCAAACTGTATTTGAATCCTGTGTTCAAAAAAAGCAGAAAATATGAGAACTTACTTCTTTTAGGTTATCTGCTGAAAGCTACTTATGTGATACAGGGATGGGTTCGTATTTGGGTCGGACATTAAGAATATTGTTTTGTTTTGTTTGTTTGCTTGTTTTTGTCCAAGTGCAACCAACCTTACCCTATGGAAGAAAAGTACTATTGGAAGATGTGGGACTCAGGCTAGAACTCAAATGGTTCTGTTTGGCTATGGCTTGTCTCCATGGTTTATAAAACAATACACAAAAATAGACATAACCTAAAGACACAAATACATGAGGAGGAAGTAAATACATTTGACCTCATATGCCAACAAAAAGCTAATTTCCAAGTGATAATGATTTCAGAGAGATGGGACAATTTGATGCAAAGCAGACCTGAGCAGATTGGTAAATTATCAGTTGACATTACCCTGGTATGGCATTTTAGAACATTTTCCATCCATAAACTTTAAAAGGATGCATAAATCCAGAGCCTTGTTTCCCCAAGACTTGCTAGAGAGCACACAGCAGATTAATTGTGAAACTATTGATACTTGACTCTCTCCTTTGGACTACAGAGGTGTTTCTTGGACTTCCCTTTTGGATCATTCTTTGATTGGAACCTCTGCTCCTTCAAATATATTTCACCTTACAAATTGTCACAAAGTTATGTGCACAGATTGACATAAGCATTATCAAGATCAAAATTTACACAACCGTAAGTTTTGTACGGTGAATACACCATGTGCCATATGACTTACCAATGTTATGTTATTATTTAAAAAATTATTCCACATTAAACACATTTAGCGTACCAAAATTTGATTACCAGTGAATTTCATAAAAAATAAAACCCCAGTGTTAAAAAGGAAACTTCCAGCTCTAGAATCCTAGGGGTAATATTTCATGAGGAAAGACATCAGGAGGAAGGTGGGCTTCAACCCAAACTCTGTGAGGCCAGTGGTAATAATGGTATTGGGCTAGACTTTCAACTTTTCAATGGCCTTGATGGAGAGAGATGAACAGTAGAGTACAACAAGCCCACCTGGGCCTGATATGGTCTCAACAGTTCAGTTAGGCACAGGGTAACCACAGATACAGATATAAAACTAATGTCAAGTGGAAATTTGGGGGAAACTCCTAGAAAAGCAGAACAGCCTTTTCTTAGATGGTACATGTGAACTGAGCAGACAGATTATACCACTTACTCTTGCCTTGGAAATTGGGTTTTGGAGGAAAAAGCTCTACAGCACCATAAGGACACAACCACTTGGCTTAGAGGCAAAACCATTTTCCTCTCTTCCTCAGTCTACATCACCAAACTAAATAGCGTGAGTCTAGTCTTAATTAGGCAGATATGAAAAACTTAAACCAAGGAATGAGTCTCATTTAGAGATGACCTGGGTCAGGTTTCAAACTGAATCATTTTAAGATCCAAAACCAGAGTTCATCCTAGAGAGAGACTGAGTCACCTCTTCACCTAGAATCAATTAAGCATTGCTTGAATGTGATCAGTGGACTGAGAGAGCGAGAGGGCTCTCCCTTCACCTTTCACTCACCTTTATAAGTCAGGAGAAAAGAGAAAGACAGATGTATACACTGCTCATGTATGCAATTCACGTTGCCTGCATTTTTATTTTGGAAACATTGGGCAGTAAGTAATTAAAATATGCCCTGAACTGAAGGTAGGCAAATGTTCTTTCTAATGGTTTATACTCCATTTCTCAGCATGGAAAGCTCACAGTCTGAAAAGCTCTTTGGTCTAACTGACACTTTAAATTATTTTAATGACTGCTATTTTATATTTTAACTCCTTCAGCCCACTGCAATTGTTCTAAATTTCAACTTCTCCTTTCAATTAGCACATGAGCCACATAAAACTCTTCTAGTTTCTTTCTCTGATGGGATCCACACATTTTCAATTCTGTTTCCCAGTGCACTTGTGTATGAGTCTTCAAAACCCTCTCTGCCAGTAAAACTGAATTATTTGATTGTTCCAAGAAAATGAACACAAAAAGGACATAAAAAGATCAAGCTGAATTTATTTAAGATTTGGATGAACATCCATGGAACACTCTTGGCATTATATGCCCAGCTCTTTTTAACACTGTGGTGGTACAGAATTTTGGATAGTGTCGTGCTTAAGTTAACCAGGTTCACTCAGCATCTTCCTCCAGGGTGGGATCACAGACAGGTTGTATAACCCAAGTGTGTTTACCCGCTCACACACTGTAAACTCGGGTCCTGCTTAACTTCCTCAATAGAAAAGAATTAAAGGAGAAAGTTGTTCAAAGCATTACAATGTGCAATTTCAATGCAAGACATGATGGAAGTAGCTGCGTGGGAGGATATTACTTCATTATAAACCTAAATCAGATGCACAAAGATTTCTATCATCTCCAGAGACCATTCCATCGGGCTCTGTGAGAGGCTTTGCAGTGAAGAAAAATAGCCCCCTGTCCCTTCAGGCTTGAGAAAGTTGTATGGCTTTTTTAACCGTTTCTAATGAAATCCTGTATTATTGCTTCTCCCCTGGGAGACTTCAAAAGTCATGCAAACTTCACAGAGCCCACATGTTCATAAACCTCAACCAAAAGACCACTAAGGAAATAAAATGCAGTTCTCCAATTAGCATTTGACATTCTCTACTGGTTTTCGGTGGGGTGAATTTGTCTTTCTTCCATACCATGCTGATAAATTAAATGAGTTACTAAGCCTGGCATTATTTTATGTTTCAAGGCACACTGAAATCAAACATTTCAGCATGGGATTTGCTTTCTGCATAATATTTGAGGGAGACATGAAACAAACCTAGGCGTTTCAAACATGTTTAAGGGGCTAATATGCACATGAATATTTTCTTCAAGCTCCTCATTGTGTATTCACAGCTACTGCCAAACACAACAACAGAGATAGGGCATTAGGATATGAAATGGGAAGTGGTCAGATTTTCAAAGTGAGCTGTTGGGTGCCTAACACTTATGAAAATCTGGCCCCAACTCTTTGGTGCCATTCCAGAAAGAAATATCTCTATCCTGGCCATTGTCCAACCAGCTTTGGAAATCATTTTGCACAGTTATTTCAGTAAAGCATAAAAGCCAATCCCCAGCTTTCTCTGCCTGATTAAGCACTGTCACCAATCACTATGCAGCTCCAAGGTACGCATGAAATATTCCTAGATAAATCCTCCATCTCCAGAGAAATGTGTTTCTTGAACAACTGTAAATCCAGGTTCTGTGTTGAAACTAATCCAGCCTGGCAGTGCTGTGGCCCTAGAAAAGTTTCCTTGGTAACGACAAACTTATGCAATGGCAAAGTCATCCAATCTTTTCATGCCACAATATTATATTAAAAACACCTGGTTTATTTTTACAATGACTTACAGATCAGGGTCCTAGAAATAATAATACATAAACTTTATAGCAAAAAATATACATATTATAATTCATCCTTCTATGGTATATAGAAATTATGTATATTTGTGTGTGGACATATATATAAATATATGGGTTGTACTTACGTTTAGGGCACTTGTGTATGGACACGTGTGTCCAAATACACACAGTATACATTTATATATCTTTTTAGGTGCCACATGTGTGTACTTAGAGACACAAATACACACAGAGGAGCATATTTATGCTCTGTGAGTAGACATGTACTTTGCAGAATCTGCACACAAACAGCTGGAGTCCTTCACTGGCTGTGAGCATTGAAGGGGTCAGTGACCACCCGCATTAGTGTCCACGGAAAGAGAACGAGTGTCACCGCTGTGGGCACAGGACTGGTTTGATGCATCTTCCTCTGTGAAGAACCAAATTTGCCGGGCAGTGACACCCTGCAACGCAGGGCTTGTTGCACGGTCCAATTTCATTCCAGTTGTCACATGTTTTGACGCATCCCGGACCACAGGTATCGTAAACTGCACCGTGTTTACACTGGGTTGCTGAAAGGAGTTAAAAAGAACAAAATATGCATATTACACAGAGTCCCACAAGAAAATTTACTTATCTGTTTGCTTAGTTTCTACTGCAAATATCAAAAGCACATTTTGGCTTGATGATTCTCTAGAGGAAAAAATTACTTGTAAAATTGTTCCACTGTATTACATAATAAATATAAAAGTAGCAAAATTCTTTATCAAAAGCTATCAAGTCCACGGCAGTATTGAACCTTTTGAGAATTTTAACACAGCTAAAGGTATATAAAGCTTTGGCAAGGTTTCTATCTATATGCAGATTCTACACTTTTAGTAGTAAAAGTGTAGAATTAACAGTGTTTATTTATTACAATGCTTTGTAATATTATAATATATAATATATCATATATAATATTATAATACTGTTTATCAAAGACTTCTGAAACATTTACGAGGACAGACAGTTATTATGAGTTCCACTTCTAGAAAGAGAAGAGACAGTCATCCACTCTATTAGAATTTCTGACCCTAAGATTATACTTTCTATATTTCGTATTGCAGCAAACTAAATCAATGTTGTTAATCCAGAAGCACCATATCTAAAACAAACAAACAAACATTAAAAATCAATTGTATCCATGCTTTGTCCTGTTTTACCAAGCGATAGCTGACAGAGAGGATTCTTGTACTTAGTGATTCCAGTATCTATTCATTAATTTATGTAGCTGAAAGTTCAATGTATTTTCAACATAAAAGATCACTGAAGGCTCAGCTAAAAGCACTATCCAGATCAATATTGAAACTCTCAACATTTTATATCTTGATTTTTAGTATGGAGAATAATACACAGTTCGATGGCAAATAAAAGTCTATTACTCTTTTTAACAGCTGTGCTGATGACAAAAACAAGGACTGATAAAATAGTTCATAGATGGTAAGGGACTCTGAAGCATCCAAAATCATCTCATGCTATTTTCAGAGAGCTGATTGTATTAGGAAGGTTTCTTCAGCTTTGAGAGAGACTGAAGGTAAATATTTTTTAAGTGACAATTTTGTTATGGACAGAAAACATTGTTTTGTTGTGAGAATTGGCCTACAGTGTCATTACAGTACTGCTATTATTCATAAAGAGAAAACAAAAATAAATTGATTGTATATATATATGAGTGTATCAAAGAGGATGGAAGTATTATTATTAAGACTTCATAAATTTAAGGGGTTCCTTTTTACCACTAAGGGATCTTCAAAACAGCATCTGTTTCTTTCAAGTTTTACTTCTTGTGGATTTTATGGAATGTATGCATACACAATTCTCAGGACACAGATATTAATAAGCAAGCACAAAATTGTAAAAAAAATGATAGTACAGAGGAAAATTGACCTGGTGTTACAGAGAATCAAATGCTGAATACTAGATAGATATTAGATATCAGGGGAGAAAAAAATCCAACTTTCTATCTTTAAGCATAAGAAAGCACCAAGAGCAATCTACCTAAAAACTCTGTCAAACATCTTTTATTGAACTTTTGTTTTAGAATAGGCTGGAAACAAATACCTATCTGTCAGCTATGTTCAAGATAGGCTTATTCAGTGTGTGAGCATAGATCTTTTGAGAATATTTTCCAGCTTTACATTTCTGTCTTGCTCTGCATGATAACTTCCATGCATACTTAAGAAGGAACAAACAAAAGGAAAAACTAAAAAAAAAATCAAAATAAACAGAAAATTTAGAAGGTGGGAAAAACATGCAAGCACTATTAAGCATAGAATAAAACGTTAGATTCCCAGGAAACTACACTTACATAATGTGTTAAGAATAAAGATTGAATCTCTGTAAAAGGGGGAATGAAAATGTGCAGATCTCCCCAGAGCTTTGCAAACAATGTATTAACTGACTAGAAAAGTAGACCAAGATGTTCAAGGACGGTCAGTGATTGTCCATACACAATGTGAATTATCTTACAGGAGATGTTTATTAGAAGCTTTTATCCTTCCTCTCTAAAAATGAGCTTCCCTTTGTAGGACCTCTAATTGACCAACCAAAAACAAACATTAGACTTCAACACATGTGGTTTCCATATAGAAAGGAATACAAGCTTCAGTTTCAAGGCTGCACAGGTTTCATCCCACAAAACTTCACTGCAGTAACAGCCGGCTCCATGCCTTCCACCTGAGCTCTATTTGGTTCCTCAGCTAGTAGGTTTAAGGTAAGTTGGCTAAGGGCTCCTTTCTACTTCCTCATCTCTGCCCCAGAGCAAATGAGAACGTACTACAGACTGCCCTCAGCAGCCATGGTGTCTGTAAGTACTCCCCAGTCTGCTTTACCACACATGGATGTAGGATGTCAAAACACCTCCTTATCCTTCAGATGATGCCATGTAGAAGATACGATGACTATTTTGTGCTGTAGGCAGCCTATAATGGCATTATTAACATGCTGTCAAGGGAAAAATCAGAAAAGTACAATGGCTGCTGTTTAAGTTCCTTGGATGGCTTTTATTGTTGAGTGATTCAGCTGCTAACATGTGGTGTGATTGATCCAGAACATTCCACTTCATCAACAGTTTAAAATTCAAAAATAAAGACATTCTGCAGAAGGCTTCCCAGGAACTGCTGAAGTGATTCACTACCATGTAAACATGGAAAACAGAAGCGGTGCCTTTGCACCCGTCTTTTAAGACAAATTCCTCTCTTAAAGAACTGAGCTCTGTTACTAATAACTTCCTTAGTACACTAGCAAAAAAAAAAAGAAAATCAAAAACCCAAACTCAACATACAAAAGTTACTAATAATACTGTATTTTGAAACATTACCAGTCCCAACAGGATTTTTCCACTCTTCTTCTAGAACATGTGTTTGGCATGACAGATGTGAGCTTCCTCAGACCACTTTCTGAGCTGGCGGGATAATAGCCAGCTCCAGCCCAGAAACCATATAGTCACATAAATACAGCACTGTGCCTGAGCTAATAAACCCAGCCTAATAAGGCTACAGTTTGCAAACTAGGCCTGGTTTAGTCCAGCCACTTTGGCAGTTTCACAGAGGAGGCTTCTGTGCCTGTCTTTGTAGACATGGCCTTAATTATTTAGGAGGAATTCTTATACCCCAACACAAAAGCCAAAATACGTAGCACAACTGCTACAGGATTCCCTTGGTTGATGATATCTGGTAAATCTGATTTCACAGAAAATTCTGAACTAATATTTAAGCATCGATGAATCTTCTGGCTTCTTCTGTCAGTGTTACACAGTTTGGAGGTCTTCTGTAAGACTTCCAAATGGCATTTCACTCATAGTGCTTGCAATTCACAGTATCTCCTTCTAACAGAGCTAAAGGTGATGGATATGGGCACTGACCTTCCCATGATACACTCCTGTTAATATTTTCAACTTTCAGTTTTCAGTAAGTATCCACTGAAAAGCCAGGAGAGCACTCCTGACACATTTACACAGGGAATAAAGCCGTTAAAGGAAAGCAACATATAGCAGGAGAAAAGAGTGACATGCACCAGAAAACTCTCCAGCAGAAAAGGGACCCAAAGGAGAAGAGTCAAAATCGGATATACACTCATCTCCCTCCACTTCAACTGATCACAGAGAAAATTGTTCTGATTTTATGAAACTGTTGTAGCATGTCAGCACACCAGTACATTTTGCACTATATCATAGCCCTTATCTCATTGTTTTCTTGCATGTGTAGTCATGTCCATGGCAGGGAGTTATTGCCTTCTACCATCCTTGAGTCTTCTTTCTCTTGGTATTCTGAGAAATGCAGTGTTAAGTTACTATATCCCAAGGCCTTTCACCACTTCAGTTTACTTAATTGTACTTTACAGACTCCTTGTTTAGCATTTCTTGGGTAAAAAAAATACTTTTTTTCTTTCTTCTTTCCTTTTCAAACCTCTTTCTTCCATTTCTATTCTTTATTTTCCCTCCTCCATGTATCACTTTTTCTTATTTCTTCTTTCCCTCATGCTGGCTCTCCTGTTTAATTTCTCCTTCAAAAACCGTATTTTTTTCTATGCCCATCCTAACAGGTCTAACTCCCCACTACTCTCCATGGCAACCTGTATCTTTTCCTAACCTCTCAGTTCCCGTATGGATCTCACCAAACTTTTCCTACCTTAACCATTTTCCTTACTCATTATCTTCCATTTTCATTCCTTCAGTTAAATGACAGCTGACATTCCTTTTAATAAGCCAGCCTCATAGGACAGCAAACCTTGAGCAGCAGTGTTCTGCAGAATAATGCAGAGGAGCATAAGCTATGGCACTGGGGAAGAGAGAAGAGCATGTAGGGAAGAGGACATGCAATTCAGCCTCCTGAGCATCCTGTTTGGCTGGCCCTCCAGACAGCACAAGTTTCCTGGAGATTAGAAAAATGAGCTAAGCTTACAGCAGTTAGGGTAGAGCAACTGGCAACCACACAAGATCTGGTTTTAAAACACACAAAAGTATAATTAAAACCTGACTTTACTAATAAGTATACTCCATTTTCATCAGACCATAACTCTTGCAAGTATCCCACCAGCTATGAAATGTCAAGCAGGAAATGGAAGTCACAGAATGCTAAAGTTTTATTACAGAAATGTTGTTTCCCACCTATGAACTTTTATCTGTAAATCGCAACTACTTGTTTTGGAGAAAAAAAAAGTCAGTTAAAGATTAAAATCTTGATGCTAGCCACTGGTACCATATGGAAAGCAGTGGATGCCCTTTAATTTAATGCTTACTGTATTATTTACTTAGAAGATGGTGCTACTTATCTGTCATTGGATACTTAAATAACTGTTTTGAGGGCACTTAGCCTTATACAGCTTATCTATATTTTCTGCTTAACAAGATTTCCCCTTTCCCTCTAGAAGAGATTAAAAAATTCATGTTGATTTAAAAACTTCTTTCATTAGCTTTAATGGAGGCTATGTGTTTAAATTCCTTCATAATGTTCTCTCAAGGACTGGTTTTGCCTCAGAAAATTTTCTTGTCTTTGATAAGATGCCAGAAAAAAATTGTGAAATGAAGCCTCAATTAGTTAAGTCGTGATATGTCAACACTTGTATAAACTCCTTAAGGCAGGGGCTGCTAGCAAGGAGTTTTTATTCTTTTTACAGCATCTGCCATAGTGAGGTCTCAGTCTGAAGTACTTTGGGAAAAAAAAAATCACATGCTTGCTTGAGGTTCAGCACGGATCTGCTACCAGATCAATACATTAAAATTATATACATTACTAGTGCTAAGGCCACATCTATGGGTTTTCACTTAGTGACACCCTGTTTGGATTGTCCTGTTGCTTTGTAAGAAAAAAAGTGAATCTTTTGAGAAGAGTCAATCAAATGTAATGTACTCTGTCACTTGCCCATCCCTGCTAAAATGCCTTCTTATGGAAAAGGAAACAGATTTTGAGAGAGTAGACCCTGAACCACACACAATCATCAAAATAGACCACAGAGTAATAGCTCTGAGACCAGCACTGAGTATCCTCCTCTCATTGCTCGTTGTTTTTTTCCAACTACTGTTAATTGCTTTACATAAATCTGAATACGTTTCCAGGCAAACCAATGCCATTACAGAAAGTCCTAAATTAATGAGACCATCATCAGGGGAAATACTCATCTGCAATACTGCATTTTAGTTCAAGTGCCCATAGCCACAGGCCACTGCTTCTCATGGAAGCAATTACTCACAATTACTTGCAATTAATGCAGTCCGAATCACATGGCAAGTATGGACTAAATGCAGAAATTAATGCAGGTTTGCATTTCAGTATTTCCACTAAATACATTTGCTCCTCTTTCCTTGTTGAACCTACTGGAATTATATGTGTGTGTTGTCCCCAGAAATATAATTATGTTTTCACAGGAGGTCAAAGGAGTTTAAACTTCTTCTGTAATCAACAGTTTACATATCCTGAAAGAAAAACTTCCAAGAACTTCCAAGCTGGTACAATTCCTGTATAATTTTTGATCCCACTCTACCAGTAAAAGGATAGTATGATCACAGCTTATTGGCCTATGCAACAGCTTACAAAGAAGCAGTCCCAAAATGCTTACCTGCACAGTTCTGCTCTGGCACCCACTGGACTTTCAGCCCTTCCCTCTGACAGGCTCGGGCGTACGCCAGGAATGACTCACAGTAGCAGTTTTTATGGATCGGACACTCACACATGTCTGTCACACAGGACCTGCAGAATAAAGCCCCAAGACAAATAAGAAAGGAATGCTTAGGCAGATATCTGAACAAGGTTTGGAGTTGTTTACTTTCCAATCACATGGCATCCAATGCCACAGCAACTTGTGCTAAATGGCAAGAAAGTTAAAGGCATCCCTGCGGTTACATCCCAAGGACTTGTCTCTTTTTTGGTGTGCTACTTTAATGCAGAGAGGCCTCCAGAGCACCAGGAAGCACACAGAAACAGGGAGTTGAGAAGACCCAAGAAACGTCAGGTAGAAAGGACTGAGACCACAACGGGGAAAGGCGAACTCCATTTATGCAATGCTTTTTGTGTCAACATAAGATAAAAACTTTTTATTCCTAGAAAGTAATAATTTAATAATTTTACCAACAATCATAACAGTAGTGTTAAGTGTATGAATTCTTTAGGCAATGAGCACATGTCCCTCCATGCAAGAGATGATGCCTTCTCTCCAGGTTACCTCCAGACTCTTCCTGCTTTGAAGGTATGAAAATAGCTATATGCCTATTTTCTCAGCAGCATCACTACTAAGTGCCAGACTTTAGGATACCCCAAAGGAACAGGGCTGATGCAGCATAAATGAGTAGTTTCATGCTATGAAATCCCTGAAGCATGGTTCACACTGCTCAGTCTCTTCCATTGCATTCTTAGGTGGAAGTACTTACAATGACAGGGAGCAAAGCTGCTAACATGGCCCTACTGAAACTGCTACTGTGGATGTCACCACATTTCAAGTCAGCTTGTTCAGAACATGTGTCTGTTTGGCACAGACCTAAATTATAACTGGCAGGAGCCAAGAGATTTGCAGTTGGTGGTTTCTCCATATGCAAAATGCTTAGTATGTTTCTGCATGTGTAGCAATGTGAATTCAGAAATGCTGAGTATCTACTGCTCTCAGCAGAATCATTAAAAGTATATTAAAAGTATACAAGGTATACCCTGAAAATCATGCCCTCAGCTCCTTTGCTTTCCACAGAAGGTGCTCTGTGCCTGAACATTGGGTGTCAATGGTCAAGGCCCCCCTGCTCCATGCATGTCCAGGGGCTTTCCTGTTTCTGAGAAGACAAAGGCACAAATTTTCTTTCAAAGATGAAGGGCTGAAATGAAAAATGTGCTCTTCATGTTAGTTGCTCTTCCTGTGGACCATAATATGAATTGTTTATAGGAAAAGGACAGATATAGGCTTATTTAGTTTCCCTGAACTTTTTCCATAGCAGAGGAGGTAATAGCTTGGAAACAGTGCAAAAACCTCATCCAAAGTAATCAGGAGACCTAATGTCCATACATTACTCTAGAGTAATTGAGAACCCTTTAATCAAAACTAGGAGACTAGGAAAGGATTAGTGATCCCTTGAACACAGACAAGCCTGTTTCTGTGAGTCCAAGAGTGCCTTAAAGAGGAGCATTTCCCCATGCCAAAGTCACTGGCTACTTCAGTGACCTGACAGTTCTACTTGATATTTTCAAGAGTTTTAATAAATTTAATCTCAGTGGACCCTCAATATAAATTTACCTAAAAAAATCACTGTGACAAATAAGTAACATGATTGCTAAGGTAAAAAGTTTACCTGTCCTTGATTCACTGCTATATATGCACTGTGAATAAACAGACTTGCTTTGGATCAAATACATAATATGCTTATATTTACAAACCAGTTGTTCTCACTTTAATAACTTAAATACTTACTTTAATAAAGTAATAACTTTATTTTCTAGGGACAATGTAATTTTATTTCACTTTAGTCCTGCAGGAGGTCTCTTTACATCTTTTCCTATAACATGTTGCTGGAAGCATGTCACAGCTGATAGGCAAGGAATACATTAGCACAACATCCTCTGGGTGGTTTGATATTGTCAGCTGATAAAAGACCTTGTATAAGCACAAAGGGTCACCTTTTTACGTGACACACTAAATAACTTCACACTGTTTCCTTTGGCCACAATATCTCTTTGTGATCTCTTCCTAGTAGCTCTGCAGTGGGCACCGCTCCATATACCCCATGCAATTTAGGAAGTGCCTGTCTCATTTTTACAGTGAAGTAGATGCTTGCTTGCTGCTGAAACAAATCATTACCACAAAGAATGCCTGCATAAAATCTCCATAAATAGTTGATTATCAAGGTACCATTTTATCATATTTTTGTTTCTGTGCCAGCTCCCTTTATGAAACACATTTCACTGCTCTCCACTCAGATTTAGTTATTATTGATGTCCATGGTGTTTAGGGATGCTTTCTAGTATCCACTTGGCTGTATGTTCACCAACTTCCTTGACTAAGAATTTCTAAAACCCTAAATCTGAGGTACTTCCTCTGCTTTTAAGAGCATGCTTTTTTTTTTTTTTTTTTTTTTTTTTTTAGCATTACTCAGAACTCAGAAAGAAATGTCACCTCTTGCACTGAGTCAATGAAGCTAGAGCTACCTCAGGTGCTTGCATCAGAAAAAGATGAAAGATCAGGGAAACTCCAGGCTCACCGTCAATCCCCCAAGCATTTTAGTAGTTAACATGCTCATGGCAAAGCTAGCACAGACCGTGGCAAAGCCTAGGTGTCGCCCTGAAAACTCAGCTTCTGAGCTTGCTAACATAGTTTTCTAAGGACTTTCCCAGGACAGTAACTGTAAACATAGATATGTGTACGTTCTTTCTGTTACACGTCTTGTAATGGGCACCTCTCATGGCCAGTGCAGTGAGAAAGTGTTATCCTGACCATCCAATCCCTGGCCGTGGTAAGAAGCCTATAAATCCTGGGAGGAAAAATAAACTCTGCTCTTTCTTGCACCACACCTCAACCTGTGTCTGCGTGATCTATTCATCTTCAGCGGTAACACCTAGGCACAATCTGAGGGATTAGGGAAGGGAGGGCATTGTTCCCAGTCTGCAGGAGGGTAGCCATGCTCTTTGAGAGTGCAGAGCTTAGCTCCCATATGCATGTGAGCAACACCAACCATTAACCTTTGGCATTGAAATGGCCATGGACATCCAGGCGTGCTCCAGGATGAAACATCAGAGCTTTGACTGGGATCAGCACTAATTGCTACAGTGTTCAGCATGGGTGTCCACTGAGGAAGAGAGTACCATGTGCAACACAAAGAATCTGCTGATTCATTGCACACCAAATTGCTTGTACTTTTTATTTTCATTAAATGTTTAATCCTGGTGACAGGATTAAACTGCTGGGGTCAAGCCCTAGGCTTAGCTGAGGAGCCATGGTCAGATTGCAGCAGTTTTATTAATGAATTACAACTTCTAATCATTTGTACAGTTAATTAAATTAATTAATTAATGTTTAATCAAAAATGAGAGTAAAGAAACCTATATCCACAGCTGCCAAGACTTGTGAATAAAAATAAAGCCTGCTTTTATTTCCTGATGAAAGGGCAGCTCTCAGCAAGGACATAGACGTAAAAGATGTCCATTCTCTGGGGGCTAGCTCTGAGGGTGACCTGCCAATGGCCCATGGCCAAGCTTCGACTTTGGGTCTGTATTTTTATCAAAAGTTGATTACCTTCTGCACTTAATTATATTTCTCACATTTATTATTGCTACAGTTGTGTTAAAGGGCTATTATGGGATGATTTACCAAGAAAATTGAAAAACTGATTCCTGTGTGCTATGCTAATCTATTCCCCTTGCAAAAAACTTTGATATGCCCATAGGTTTTATTTTTTTATCCTTTCCAGTGATACATTTCAAAAAATATTCTCTGCTTTCCTAGATTCTGTCTTCTCATCACTCTTTGAATCTGATAAAGAGATTTGGTGACACTAACTGCACATACTCACAGTTTATCTGTATTCTAATCTGACTGGACTGTTCAAACAGCAAAAAAAAATATTTTAGTAAAACTTTGGAAATATGCTACTAATGAAGCTCTACTGACAATTTATTGTACTGCACAGTAATGGTGACTTATGGTCTAGTGGGGTATTGTGACTCTTTACCAAGAACAAAGCATTTCTGTAATGAAGTAAAAACATATTAGAAATTAAACATCAAAACATTACAGTCAGACAGAAATAATCCCACAAGAAGATTATTATTGCGCACAAGTTTCTTTTAAAATGAAACTTTACTAGCTATGGAAATACAAACAAGGTACTTCAAGCAGCCTTAGTTCTGCCTTCAGTGAAATCATACAGATATGCAATGATCTTGAGGTCCAAAGGAAAATTATATTTATTTTAAGGACATATTTACATTTAGAGAAAGAAAAACACTTCGATGTGACCATGCACTTTATCTGGCAACCCTGCTCCAAATAAGCAGAGTACAGCCAACCTCTAAGTCCTCAGCTGGTACCAAGTGCCTCACTGTGATCCCTTTTGATGCTGTCTGTGCTGCCTGCAGGGTATGTGTCAGAGATGGCGTTAATTGGGTGTGTATAATCACAAACTGTTGCAAGGGGAAATCCATGAAAGTGAAGGCATCCGGCAGCTGTGGGACACACCCTTGAAGGAGACAAACACACACTCTGCTGCCACATCTTCAAAGCAAACTGGATGACTACACTCCTTCAGCAACAGCCCTTTTTCATATTAAACCATGGAAAGTCTCCAAGTCCCACAAAAGGCAAAGAACAGACTCCTGTGCTACATGCAGTATTTAAAAAAGAGAAAAAGAAAAGATCACAGCAATGAAGCCTACAGCCTTAGTCTGTGCCACACAGGATTGAAATTGCAGATGTTCACTTGCTGAACATCAGCAGTTCATTTTCCTCTGCAATACACATGAATCCAAACCCAGAATCAACCATTTCAGGAGGGGCTTAATTTTTCCTCCACATTTTACAATAGTACTATGATTCAGTGCAATTTTCAAACATTTTGGTAGCTTTAGGTTCCACACAGATGGAAAATAGTAACATCTTCCCCTTTCCCTCACTAAACCTTAAGAGATTTTGCAAAAACTATTAGAGATAGTGCACTACTACTTACATTTTACATACATGAAGAAGCATCAGATGGTGATGGGGTTTGTCCTCTACACTT